AAACACGGAAAAAGTTTTCTATTGCTTAAATAGAACACGATCTGTTGATTTTTACCTTCTGACGAAAAGCTGCTGAAAAAGGCGATCAAAGGTTATTAACTCTTTATTCCCATTACAGTAAAACTGGTAAGTGAATGTGTTACGAATATTAAAGCTGAAGGAAAGCAAAGAAAGGAGGAAATTAGAGAAATATTGAGCTACACGGTTGAGGGGTTTTAGAGTCACGAGATTTTCGCGAGATCCTTATACATTTTCTTTCTTTATTCTTTTAAGCGATTGAACTTAAAAAAGGTAGTTGTGTTCACTATATTTTATTTCTTTTTTTCGTTAAATAATTAAGGGGTTTTGCCATCGTAGGGATATTCTAACTCTAAAGAATACTTCGAATGATTCGTAAACAGTTCTAACTTTAAGCTATTTATATATTAAGTTATATTTATTTTTTTACAGAAAATAAGGTTAACGTAACCTCTTTTTTACTCCGACGAATGTGAGAAACGTCAGCACGTACATATTCAACCTTTTATTGATATTTTTTGTGGTGCTAATGATTTTTTCACCCTTTCTTATACGCACGCAATATTTATGTATGAACTTAACACACTCACTAATAATTCATGAGAGAAACACAATAGAAATCATGACCGTGGAGAATAAAGGGCATAAAATCATGTTCATATATGTAAACTTAGACTTCGAGCGGTCCCACTTTTCCCTCCAGAATCAGTAAAGACGAGTCGAGATTCCAATTTCCCTGCATGCATGTCCACAGGAATGTACAATGGGCCATTGAATTTACTTTTTGTACCCCCACTCCCCACCCCGGCCCGTTGAGGAGCTAAGTTTTTTAAGAACCCCCTACCTTTCTGGAAATATAGTAACAAGTATTCAAAATTCCATTAACAATAATTGTAAAAATATGTAATAAAAGAAATAGTGATTGCAGATTTTATAATTGAATGTATATATATCAAAGAAGAAACCATAGGCTTATATTCTTGAGGTGTCTTATATAAGCTTGGGTAATTTAGATATAATTATTTGATTACTGAGTCCTGTACTTGCATGTCTMTGTACTGTCATATATAAACACACTGGGAGGTGTAGAGCACAAGAGGAGCAAGCTTAGAAACAACCTTGCTCTTGTTTCTCAATTAGTGCTCTACAGCTCCCAGATTATTAGTCCAAGTCCCAATAATTTAAGTCATTTAAAAAGAATTATAAAAAACATTTATTATCTTTACAATAACATATATTTCTTCTATAATAATATCTTTTTCTTTTCTTGCCATTAAAAAAAAAAGTACTTGCCATTATGTCCTGTTACGTGTGTGTGTTTATGATAATTGTAATTCCTCTTTTTTTTTGACGCTATAACTTAACTAATCCACTATGGAGGGCAATTAACTAGAAAGCATAAGCTACTTTAATCGCCCTACACTTTTATTACCTAAAATAATATAATTTCCCTTATTTGTATAAAAAATGTGTATTTGTATATTATATCTTGTAAATATATAA